AATAGTTCAGGTTTCCTGGATATACAAGGAGAGTATAGAATATAGAATAGTTCAAGTTTCCTGGATATACAAGGAGAATATAGAATATAGAATAGTTCAAGTTTCCTGGATATACAAGGAAAGTATAGAATATAAAATAGTTCAGGTTTCCTGGATATACAAGAAGAGTATAGAATATAGAATAGTTCAAGTTTCCTGGATATACAAGGAGAATTTAGAATATAGAATAGTTCAGGTTTCCTGGATATACAGGGTAAATAGAGAAAAGTTCAGGTTTCCTGGAATTACATGGATATCAGCGACTGCATCAAGTGTAAGTGTGTGCCCGCCGCGCTGAGGGAAAAGTTCCATTAATTCTTAGAAAATCTCCAAGTTTTCTAATATTTTCATCAATCTGTCGTCTTCAATACTCAATCCATCAGGCATGTCAAATCAAAAACTTAAATAGTTTGATGATGAGAATAAGAAAAGTAGAGCGAAGAAGAACAAGAAAAGAAAATTTTTGACACAAGAAACACTTGAACTTATATAACGTCTAAGGTCTAGCTAAACTATATGTATTATGTAAGTATGTATACTTTGTTTGTCTGTTGGTTTGTTTGTTTGTATCCAATAAACGTCAAAAACCGATCTGGCCCAAATATTTTGCGGCTCCTCTTATGACCCCAGGAAGGTTTATGGCCGGATGGTAAGAATATAATAAAATTTACCGTAAAAAACTCGATTTTTCAAATCCATGAAAAAATCGATAAATCCGCAAACTTTTTGTTATTGTTTGATAATTTTAAAAGAAAGAAAAATAATAAGTTAAAATCGAAGATGGGCGCGAAAAGCTCTAGTTTAGTATAAATACATTGTTAAATTATTTTGATATTTCGTAATGTGTTTAATATACACGAAGATCAGAATAAACGACCTTTTTATGATGATAAAAGAAATTATTTTAAATAAAATTATTTTTATAAAAGCATAAAAATAATTGAGACAAAAATAGGTAGAACAAGGAACGAGTTCAATATTCAAAATAAAAATCCAAGAGGGTGTCTTTAGTTTTAGATTCAGAATAGTTCTTTGGCATTCTTTATCTGAAAAACATTAGGATTTCTTTCTAATATTGAGAACCTTGGTTTCTAGAATATAACTTGCGGATTTCTACAGCAACGAAGAATGTTTTCTCTGATCTCTTGTATCCGGGCAAACTGAGTCCAGGGGCTGGTAATAATTCTCCGTTCTCTCCTATGAATCTGAAACTAAGAAATTCCCTTTAAATTTAGATCTGAAAAGTTTTTCATTCAAAAATTTAGATTGTATAATAGAATATCTGACGAATCTGTGAGATTATTCAATATTTATTAAAAAGTATTGACTTATTCTGAGAACCATGCAGAATTATATTCAAAAGTTTAGTTTAAGGAAACCTAGATAAAACTAAAAATAATTAAACATCCCTACTCCGTAGTTCAAATTCATTTTTTGAACAATTTAACATTTATTCCATAAATATCTTCTTTCTGATTACAAAGGTAATATTGTCAATATTCTTTTGATATTAGTGAACACAGCAGAGGTTATCTCCTTGAGCCGCCCCTCACGATAAACTAGAGCACAGCAGAGGTTATCTCCTTGAGCCGCCCCTCACGGTAAACTAGAGCACAGCAGAGGTTATCTCCTTGAGCCGCCCCTCACGGTAAACTAGAATACAGCAGAGGTTATTTTCTTGAGCCACCCTCACGGTAAACTAGAATACAGCAGAGGTTATCTCCTTGAGCCGCCCCTCACGGTAAACTATATGTCCTGGTTAAAGTCCAGTGAGTCTAAACTTTAGAACCCATTTTCACCCAATTAATGTAGATTTCTCGTATTTGCTATTCTATTGCTAGAAAACCGAAGTTGGGATGTAATAAAGAAGAATTAAAACACGTCTGCTGCCCATACCAATCCTCGTACCCGGAGAAAAGGGCTGCAGAGTATTTCATCAATCCAACCTTGATCGGAAAACATCCTTGATTCGTTACACAAAGAGAAAAGGATGTACAATTTTAAGAATTCAGGATTCATCATGCCACTATTCAAGCTTTTTTTTCATTGTTGTGTTCTCGAATCTTGATAAAAATGTCTAGTATTGTCGTATCATATTTATAGAATTAAGAAAAAAAAACATTTAAAGGATGATAATTTGAATTCTGACAAAAGATGACTAACTATTTGTTCGGAGGGTTATTATTCTTGTATCATGCAGTTTGTCTCTTTGGAGATAGTCAGAAGCAAGGATCCGTGGATAAGAAAATCCATAGAAAAATATTTTATCCATAAATTTTATCCTAATCTTAATACGCTTAACTAGCAATCCTCTTTCTTCTATTTTTGTAGTGCAGTTGCAAAAAAATTGGTTTAATTCGTTTTTGTTTTGTTTTATTGTTCTTCGTTTTTGTTTTCAATCAAACCATCTTAATATCTGGTTTTCTTATACTTTTAACAATATTGAACAATGCATTTTATTATATATATGTGTAAGGAGTGTAAGTGTATGAAGCTTTATGAAAAGATGTGTTTATGATAAAACCAGATAATCTTTTATTAAAGTAGAATTTATTCAATATTGTAAATATTTACACTTGAAAATAATAATTTATTACTAAACTATCCTAACAATACTTAGTTATTCACACATCAAACTAATCTAAACTATCCCAACATGATACTAAACTATCATAACATGATACTGAACTATCATAACATGATACTAAACAATCATAACATGATACTAAACTATCATAACATGATACTAAACTATCATAATATGATACTAAACTATCCCAACATGATACTAAACTATCCCAATATAATACTAAACTATCGTAATATGATAATAAACTATCATACCATGATACTAAACTATCATAATATGATACTAAAATATCTAAATATAATACTAAATTATCATAAAATTATACTTAACTATCATAACATAACACTGAACTATTCCAACATGATACTTAACTATCCCAACATGATATTAAACTATCCAAAAAAAATACTAAACTATCCCAAGATTATACTAAACTATTCCAACATGATACTAAACAATCCCAACATGACGCTAAACTATCCCAACATGATACNGATATATGGTACACCCAGGACGAATAGGACTGGTAGGATAGATGGTACACCCAGGGCGAATAGGACTGGTAGGATAGATGGTACACCCAGGACGAATAGGACTGGAGGGATAGACGACACACACAGGACGAATAGGAATGGAGGGATTTATGGTACACCCAGGACGAAAAGAACAGAAAAAGGCAGATGGAACACCTAGAACGAATAGGACCGGAGGTGGTATGTAGAGATGCATGTTGGGTGAAGGTACCAAATGTAAACAAATAATAAATGGAAACAAGATCAGAATAAGTCAATTAAGTTGAGCATACATTACACGTGAGAATGGAAAATGCAATGTATCGATTGCTTACATACAACGAAATTAGATTCTCTTCTTTCTCCGGTATTAAGTAAACACACGTCAATGATACTTTATACTCAAAAGATTGAGTATTGATCCTGAAAACGGTTACTGAACCCTACTTTGCTAGTGTTAATGTCATTATTGTTTTCAGAAGCTAAAACTTTACGCGTATAAGTCAATTTTCTGACTATACATCAGAATGAAGTATGTATTAAAAATATCTTAATCTCCTTGTTTTTCAGAAAAGCAAATCCCATATTTTTGTAGATTTAAAATGTTGGCAGAAGGATAAATAGAATTAGAATTTGGCATTTTTCTTATTTTCTGTAAAACAATATTTTAGGCAAGGAGGAGAAAAGAACGTCTAAGGTTTTAGATTGATGTAAGCTAGTTTATGATAAACAGTTGAAGTGCTTGTTCTTAACATTTACAAGTGTTTGATCATATTCTCACTTAATAATACATATACAATCCCAATACTAAACTACCCCAGCCAGAAACTATTATAAAACCAGTGTAAGGAGTTGGGACGGATAATCTCCTGTCTGTCTCCGGAATACCAGGATACCAGGATACTAGGATATATTACGTCCTGTCCTGCAAAGGATCAATATTGAAGTTTAAGGGATCTTCTTTCTATCTTGGAAATAGTTTCTTTATTTCCAGACACAAGACACCTTTTCTCTTCTCTTCAAATCTAAAGCTTTCTTTTTTTCTTTTCTAATTTTGTTGGTAATTCCATTGTATAATCTGTATAGATAAAAGAGATCAGTGAAATGATAAACTCATACAGGTTGGTTGTGTATGACGTTAATATTTTTATTATTTCTAAATATTGAGTTTACTAGACTTAAATTTATGTTCTGGTGTGTTTACATTGGTTTCCATCCCTGGAGAGAACTATATATTGACAACACCATACATCCAGAACCATACAACACCCCCCCCCCCATAACCCTTCTACCTCTTGTATGTTCCTCCCCTTCCATAACCAACCCCCCTGCAGATATTTAACCCTCTATCCTTTCCTTCAATATCCAAAAAGCCGGTGGTTTATTGAACATCAATTCTAAGTGACTGGACTCCTGAGATAACGAACCAAACCTAGAAATGGGAAACAAAATCGTCAAAAAGAAAAAAGAAGAAGAAGAAAAAACGCAGGAAAAAAAACAATAAAATAAATAAATAAAATAAATTCGAGGCATTTCAGAAATTACTCAATTAAACATTCGACACCTTGATTGATAAAATGATATTCATCAAATCTGAGAAAGGGGTTTCCACTTAACCGGGGCATTGAAAGGGGATGATTTTATGGAAGTGGCGAAAGAATGGAAAGGACTGATAGGATAGATGGTACACCTAGGACGAATAGGACTGATAGAATAGATGATACACCCAGGACGAATAGGACTGATAGGATAGATGGTCCACCTAGGACGGATAGGACTGATAGGATAGATGGTACACCCAGGACGAATAGGACTGATAGGATAGATGGTTTACCAAGGACGGATAGGACTGATAGAATAGATGGTACACCTAGGACGGATAGGACTGATAGGATAGATGGTACACCCAGGACGGATAGGACTGATAGGATAGATGGTACACCCAGGACGAATAGGACTGATAGGATAGATGGTACACCCAGGACGGATAGGACTGACAGGATAGATGGTACACCCAGGACGAATAGGACTGATATAATAGATGGTACACCCAGGACAAATAGGACTGATAGGATAGATGGTACACCCAGGACGAATAGGACTGATAGAATAGATGATTTACCTAGGATGGATAGAACTGATAGAATAGATGATACACCCAGGACGAATAGGACTGATAGGATAGATGATTTACCTAGGACGGATAGGACTGATAGAATAGATGGTACGCACAGGAGGAAAAGGACTGATAGGATAGATGGTACACCTAGGACGGATAGGAATGATAGGATATCCGGCACACACAGGACGAATAGGACTGGAGGGATATATGGTACACCCAGGACGAATAGGACTGGAGGGATATATGGTACACCCAGGACGAATAGGACTGGAGGGATATATGGTACACCCAGGACAAAAAGGACAGAAAAGGCAGATGGAACACCTAGGACGAATAGGACTGATAGGATAGATGGTACACCTAGGACGAATAGGACTGGTAGGATAGATGGTACACCCAGGGCGAATAGGACGGATAGGATAGATGGTACACCCAGGGCGAATAGGAATAATAGGATAGATGGCACACCCCGGACGAATAGGACTGATAGGATAGATGTTACACCCAGGACGAATAGGACTGGGAGGATAGATGGTACACCCAGGGCGAATAGGACGGATAGGATAGATGGTACACCCAGGGCGAATAGGACTGGTAGGATAGATGGTACACCCAGGGCGAATAGGACTGATAGGATAGATGGTATACCCAGGGCGAATAGGACTGATAGGATAGATGGTACACCTAGGACGGATAGAACTGGTATGATATATGGTACACCCAGGACGAATAGGACTGGTAGGATAGATGGTACACCCAGGACGAATAGAACTGGAGGGATAGACGACACACACAGGACGGAAAGT